CCATTACATCCTGCTGTTCTGTGTGGTAACTTGAGAACTCAGGCCAACCAGCTTTGTAAAGTTACCCTATGTTGTTGGAGCCTGATTTGCAATATCAATTTTAGGGAATCCCAAGATGGAGAATCCCTTTATTGCTACTCAAATGTTTTCCAAATATAGACGTGTAAAGCTAGACAGAAGTGGGGTGTTATTGGTAAGCAAGGATATCACAGCTGTGGGTGGGGAATATGACGCCGGCAGAAGAGCTGACAGACGCAATCTGTGGCAAGTAGGTATTATATGGATAACAAAACAGCAACTGGCAACAGTTTAAGTTAATCCAGGAATAGAGTCAGAGAGAGAGAGAAAGTTGTTTCAGAAAGTGAGAGAGGCTTTGGCAGTTTTTACCAGAATAGATGAGTACACCAGAAGTGGGTGAACATTTGTGCTCTGGTGATCAGAGTATTGATATATCTGATTCATATGAATGGTTAAGGCCTGAAATAAGAATGCAGGGGTATAAGAGCTCTGCCAAACAAACTTTCCACATCTGAGAAGAACTCTGGAGATAATGAAAGCTGGACTAAAATTAGAAAACAGAACCAAAGATATTGCAATGTGCTCCACCTTCTGGGCTTGATAATTCATAAATCTTGGATAGGTCTTCAAATTTGTGATCAGACAGTTCTAGATTCAAAACCCAGTTGGTCCACTCAATAATAATAATAATAATAATAATAATCCTTGCATTTGATATAACGCTTTTCACGTCGGGAGGATGTCCCAAAGCGCTTCACAGAATATACTGTAAACTGAATTGACTGTACATTTGTGGGCGAAAGCGGCAGCCAATTGCGCACAGCAATGTCCCACAAACAGTCTTGGATTGAAAGTGACGAATTTATTATTGTTTTTTTTTTGGAGGGTTTATTATTAGGCGTGTGGAGTAAGGAAACTTGCCCAAGGTTTCGCCCTGCCTGGAATTGAACTCAGATCTCTCACTTGCAAAGCGAGTGCTCTAACCACCGAGCTACAGGACTCCACAACCCTTCTCTCTTGAGGCCAATAAAAAAAAATGTATATTCTCCATTTAGGAAAAGGGCAAATAAAACAAAACTTTTTTTTGGACACAGTGCTGAAGGACCGCACAGAGAAGGGGCAAAGGGCACTCTGGTCGTGCTCGTCTTTCTTCGAGGACGCAAGGTCCCAATGCAGGTCAAGCTTGTGGTATTGTGTTTTTAAGATCTGTGTGCAAACGGTTCTTCTTTATGGATCGGAGCTCTTGGGGATGCAGCGGAGAAGCTGATGAGGAAACTCTGAGGAATGGGGCGACTGCTACTGGAAAGCGTTATCCCGAGTCCGAGTTCATGAACGGGTCCATACATCCAGCTCTTGCGCATTTCAGGACTGAACTGTGTTGCCCACCGGGAAGCTTGCAGGGAGTTCCTGGTACCTGCCACCCACCTAGTGAGGACTCAAATTCACTCTTGTCAGATGTCAAATGACCAACTAGTGATTATCCTCCTTGTGGGGGAGAGATAAGCAGGGTTTCCTTGGTGACATGTTTGGCAATGGAATGTCAAAATTGAGCCAACCCTCTGTGGCTGTCTCAGTAATCCAGTTCTTGAGCCAGGCACATCCTCAGTATTCCAGGGCATTGCTGATGAAGCACAGCCAGCCTGGCTCATCGACAGGACTTAGAAGAGCAGGTCAGTCATTGGGGGCAGGGACTCTTCCCCTTCAGCTCCCGTTAATCCTGCAATCCAAACCCTTTAAGGGTAGGGTGGTCCTAGCTGGACAAGCAGCGGGAAAGCTTGCCAGACAGCAATATCAATGAGAAGCTATGCAGTTTTGGCTGGTTTGACTCCAACAGTATCCTAACACACATTCTTGGATTCCCAAGCTTTGGCTCTTGCCAACCTGCGCCTAATATACTTTGCAATTAGATGAGCAGGATCCATTCTTCCAGGGAGAGAGTGCACATTTCATTTTAATAAATATCTTTGGAATTTCCATGTGGAGGTACATTGTACATTGTTTGGTTAGAATAAGCATGGTGATGGGTTTCCGCATGTGTCAGACATCCGGCTAATCAAAAAAAGGCAAAATAAAACCAAGGAGAGTCTTCTTGGGGTTAAATAGATACTGTGGAGGCATATCTGAGTTGGCAGGTCCACAATTATCCATGACAACTGACTAGACTGTCAGACGCATTAATGAGATTTGGAGATGTAGACGGACCTCAAGCCTGACTTAATTTATAGGATGGTTCCAGATAGATAAGTACTGTACTATGCTGTACTGTTAACATTGTGATAGTAAATCTGTGTAATATTTTTTACAAGGAAAAGTCTGCACGAATAAAACCATTCTGAAGTTTCGGTGTGAAGTCATTACATTATTATAAATATGCTTCAGGGCAAGATGTTCTTTCAAATTATCAACATATGAAATTAATAGGATAAGATATCCCACTGGATTTATCTGGTGACCTGGACCAGCCTGGAGCCCACAAAGAGGAGTGAAGGTGTGCTCACCATTTACCAATCCTGGTGGGTGAAATTCTCTACTGGTCGGCAAACTTCCCAAACTTCCCAGTGAGCTTCTAAAGAGATTTTCCATCAGAGATTGAGGTCAATTTATATACTGACAATGGGAAAATCCCCCTGTAGAGTGGCCATCAGGACTGTGTGTGTGTGGTACATCAGATTGAAGCACGAGGGGATGCTATTCTGGGGTTTGGGTTGAAAGACAATCTTGGGACAGGGAAGGAGATGATGTAACAGTGATGTAACAGGTCTTTGGGTGCTCAATGTTGCTCATGGGGCAAAACATTGCAAAAAACATTCCATTTCCCAACACGTATAATCCTCACCTTGACGAGAATCATGAAAAAATATCTCCTCCCCAAATTATACAAGTTGAACGTGGTCGCACAGATGCTCACTAAGGAACAAGCCTTCTACATCAACTGGATCAGACATGAGAGCTACAGATCTTAACAGAAGCTTTTTCCCCAAAGTGCCCAATATTAATTATATCTGTGAAGCACATCTGTGATGTTCTGATGACTAATGTTCACTTTCACCCTCTCCTTTCATCCAACATCCCCATCATAGCCTTGCTGTGGTGCTAAGGTCCCCCAAGGTAGAATTATTTTTAACTGAAAGACTGAGGATAATTAATGGCAGATGTCACAAAAACTCCCGCAGTCTCGTTCTGCTTTTTGACAGCTCAATCTGAGAGGAAGTATAAATACACATCCCATAGAGCTCCAGAACTAAAAAAAATCAGGGCTTATTGACCGGCAGTGAGTAGGAGGATGACTTGCTGCTGCTCAACTGCCTTCATCACAGAGTTTATGTGCAAGGACAGCTCATTTCAGTGTGAGTGGGTGAAAGAGTCAAATCTCTCCTAAAATAATGCCTGCATTCATGCTTGCTAACACAGTAATTCCCTATTGATAAGCCACCTCTGGACTTCCTATTGTGTCTTCAGGATAGCAGTGATATCGTTCAGAAAACATAAAACTACACAGTCAATTCACTAACCTTTTCTTGCCCTGCGGTGATTTGCACTATGGACCCTCTGCCTTTCAGCTAGATTTCTCATTCAACGTCCCGTAGCTTGGTGGTTAGAGCACTCACCTCGCAAGCGAGAGGACCTGGGTTCGATTCCCAACAGGGTGAAACGTTGGGCAAGTTTCCTTACTCCACACACCTCTGTTTACCTAGCAGTAATAGGAACCTGGTTGTTAGGTGGATCGTTTTTCTGGGGGTACGTACATTTTAAAATAATTTGGTCACTCAGTCCATGACTGAGAACCATGAGCTGGCTCCAAGACAACGTGCCATGAGCACAGGGATTCAGCAACTAGCCTGCAGTTAGCAGCTCTGCTACTATGTCAGTTTCACTTATATTGCTGTGGGTGATAAGTGGCGAGATGACACTAGATGTTTCACCACAGGGGGCATGGTGAGTTGGAACTGGCTGATATTGTGCCCAATTACACTCCGATGCAATGTTATTCCAGAGTTTAAGTATTAAAACATGCAGAGTCATGGGAGAGTTAGCAGAATGAGTTGAAAGATGGTTAAAAAACAGTAAACGAAGAGTAAGAATAAAGGGAAGTTTCTCAGACTGGCAAGGAAGTTATGTTCTGCAGGGATCTGTACTAACACTGCTACTATTCACTTTGTACATAAATGATTTGGACTCAAAAATAGCAAGTATGATATTGAAATGTTAAGATAATCACAAACTGGGGATTTATATAGGACTCTTCACATGAGGTAGCGTCCCAGAGCGCTTGAAGATGATATAAACAGTCTTACAGAGTGAGCGGACAGGTGGCAGATAAGGTCTAATATAAAGAACTGTGCAGTAATTCACTCTGGTGAGCAGATTAAAGAAGCTGCCTATACACTGGATGGTAAGTACCAAAGAGTAGAGGAGCAAAGAGATCTGGGGATTTAGATTCACAAGACTCAAAGTAGCAATAAAGGTAGACAAGGCCATAATGAGTGCAAATAGAATCCCAGACTCTGTATCTTGAGGAATGGAGTACAAAAATAAGGAAATGTTAAATTATTTATGACCTTGCTAGACCACATTTGGAGTCCTGTGTGTAGTTCTGGCTTTCACATTACAGAAGGGTGTTGTAGCAGTGGAGAGACACCACCATAGATTTAGTAGGATGTTACGATGATGACTGGATGCATTAAGAAGGAGGCTATTTCAAAAGACTTAGCAGGTTTGCTTCAATGTCCACCTGAACAGATAGATTGGATCTCATATTAAATCCCACCTGAAGAGCGGCACTATCAACAATGCAGCACTCTCCCAGGGCTCCACTGGCAATGTTAGCTTAGATGAGCTTGGAGTCCTGATACACTATCTCTCCCAAATACACACCAGTCTAATAGATCATCACACCCAACAGTCTCAAGGTTAAAATATACCATCACAACATCCCTCTACAGTCAATCTTAGCACTTCATATTGGTATTGTGGGGACTTACACAGAGCAGGTGCAGGAGGAAAGCTCCCTGTCTTCTTTCTTCATTTGTGAAGGCATCTCTGGGGAATTCATGAATTGCTGAAAGAGAAAAAAATATATAAAATAAGACACCCCATTATCCCTATTCATTCGTCAAGAACTCATGTATTGCGAAAGAAAGTAATTTACTGCATCTTAATGTACATTACTTTCTTTGCTAAAAAAAGAAATCCAGATTCTGTGAGTTCAAAGACCAGTGGAAAGGAAAACAGTCTTACTCCTTCAGAAGATGAGAAGAGGAAAGAGTGAAGAGGAGAGTTTAACCAAACAGATTGGGTTATTGTGATTTTGTGGGCCAAGAGACTGCTTGTCATTGAAGCAGCATATGCTGTGTAAGAATGTATATATGTCTTACAAGTAACACAAACTGCAGTGGTCGGCAGAAGGTTACCAGAGGTTAATTCCAAGGGAGCCAAATGCCAGACAAACCGGTTTAAACCAGAAGGAGTTGTATGCCCTGATTGGCTTCCTCTTTCTGTACTTTTAGATAAGAAAGTGTTCTGATTAAGCACGTAGAATTGTGAGAAACAAGCTCAAATAAGGCAGACAAAGAAAAGATACATAAGCTTGGGCAAAGGTGGTGGTCTCTAGAGATCTCTCCAGGGCAGATTGCAGAAGGACTGGTAGTATTGCTCTGTTATTTTATACTGCATTAATTCTGTATAACCAACATTATTTGTATGCTTAATAAACTGTTGAAATCCGCCATTTTGGCTTGTCAAGATCGAACTTATTTTCTGGGTGTAGGCTCGGTTGCAAACGAGTCCGGTACTCTAACAGCTGGTGTACCTGAAGCATGAAACAAACTCGTGCAACATTTAATGTTTGTCAGAAACCAGCACATCCAGTGATACATATCTAGATTAGTCTCAGTCAGAAGACAGACTATTAATTGAGCATCAGCAATTTGTCTGGAGTCACCTTTATTTTGCTGTGAAATGCGTTTTATTCAAATGGGTTAGAGAAAAGGGTACACTCTCTGTAGGAGTGGGTTTGCCCAGGCAACCGCAACACTATCTTATTTTAAGCATGCTGGAGGGGGATAATAAGAGCCTCGGAGAAGGCATGATGTAAAGGATTGATCTAACTATTAAACTTAATACATCGGGTGAGGTTTACAGTGTTCTATAATAAGCAAATACACAGTGTGCGGTGAATCCCTCAATATCACCACAATGTGAGTCATGTGGTACTTGTGTTTGAATCAAGGGACACGATTGGGGACCTGTTTGAAGCTGAGATACTTTCACAGAACTGACTGGTACTTCACTCTGGCTTTCAGAGAAAGAAATGACGTTTTTGGCATACAATATGGAACGGCATGTGTGCAAGCACGCTTCAAGGCAGAGATACATCTCTGAGTTCAGACAGTATTAAGAAATCCCTCAAGCTTCGCTCTTTCAGTTTCCGATGCCAACAAAATTCAGACTGTGTCATTGCCTTTATCTTACTGCCATCCGGCATAACCCCAAGCCCGGGTGACATCCTCTGTGTAATATCCTCCAAGTGCGTGTTAACCCCCCACGTAACTCACCCTCTACCTAACACACTCACTCCTGCGTGGTATTCTCCAGGTAACTTATGGTACTGGGCTGGTACTGAGCCATATAGGTCCAAGATTTGATCTCTGGTCTATATTAAGCTAAGCAGGTGGTAGCAGTCATTCCAATTGGTCTCAGCTCCATGAATTAAGGAGAGAGTAAAATAATCAGATTGGACTCCCACTCCAGAGGCTTCAAATTTCTCATGGCTTTAGTCTTTAAGACCATTGTCAAAAAATATAGGATCTAGCAGAACTGGCATAAGTTATTAAAAATATGTTGTTTATTAGTCTAAGAAATTCCAACAAGACATGGGCCCCACTCCTGGCAATCTATATGGAGGAGGATTGGGGTTACTGGGAATGACACACAACTCTCCTGACCTCAATCTATACTCCTCACTTCTCAAGTGCTTCAGTTTCCTTAATTTTAAGGGATGATTTCCCGGCCATATCCGACCTCCCACGTCTGTTAGCCACTGCAATAATAACTGAATAATACTTGTGATAATGTCAATCATCGAGTGGTCACGATCCTCTTGCTCATATTTGTTTTCTGATAATTTTTGTTCATATCTTTATTCTGTGGTTTATTTCATGGATTGAGCTGCTATGGTCAATTGTATTTCTATTATTTTGTTAACAAAACTATAACAATAATAATTTGGTCACTCAATCCTCAACTGTTTGTTGGACACTGCTCTGCACAATTGGCTGCCGCATTTTACCCACAAAATATACAGTCAATTCACTATACAATATATTCTGTGAAGCGCTTTGAGACGACTGGAAGACGTGACAAGGTCCTATATCAAATGCAAGGATTATTATTCATTATTACTATTCTACAAATTTCCCAAATTTCAACACAGACTTGTGACCCCCTCCGCTCCCCTTGTAAAGTACCCCCTCCTCCTGTAAAGAGCCCCAGCTCCTCCTGCAAATTGCTTGGGTGTTGAGCACAGAATTAGGCTCTACTGAAATAATAATAATAAAATCCCTTCCAAATGCCACATTTTCTGCCAATGCTCACGTTCAATGCTCATAAGTGAGGAATAGCCATTCGGACAAGATATCGGAAGGAACCAGATTCCTGCAAGAGTCAATGTCTTCAGGAAAGGAAGGAAAAATATTAGGAGGCGAGAAAATAAACAAAGGCTTTCAAAGCCTTTAGGACAACCTTGAAACATTGGAAACTGAACTCCTTGACCTAACCAGTCACAAACAATTCTCATCTCTTGCCACTGCCTGGCCATGTGTAGCTCACTCACATCTCTTCGAAAAAGCTTGGCTTTCAACACACTGCAACATTTATGGCTTCATGTAGATACAGTACAAGATTTTTAATAGGAACACTCTGTCAGCAAGCAATATGTTCCTATACCCACTGCCAGGATGTCTTGCTAAACAAATCCCATTAAAGATTGGTCCCAGTCTGTAATAATAAGTGAGTTTAACTAACTTAAGAACTAACCATTCCACCAGCTGTAGTAAAGTACAGTATTTCACAAAAGATGGACATCTGAAAGCAATTGACCAATATGATTGAGAGCAAAAAGAATTAAAAATGTCAACCAAAAGCATCGTCATATTAATGATTAAAGCCAAAAATCAGCACCGCCAACAAAGCAGGAGCCCCCAGCCCTGAATTGTTCTGCCAACTATACTGCGAGTTCAAAATCCTGACCTGAGGTTTGAACCCACAACCTTCTGATTCAGAGGCGAAAGTGCTGCCAACTGAGCCAGGCTGAAACTGTGGATTCAGAGGAGGCAGCAAAGGTCTTACAAAGAGAGCTTAATAAGGTATGAGCTGATTACTAGAAAATGAAGTTCAATACACATAAATGCAAGGTACTGGATATAGCAAGTAAAAATAGAAGACACATGTACTCTATGGATGGACTAGAACTAGCCAAAGGGTAAGTTGATTGAGATCCAGGGGTGTTAATTGACTCTTTGCTCACTATGTCAAAATAGTGTGAGGCAGGCATAAACACGACAAACAGGAGGCTTGGCTGTATTGCCAAATTAGTTAAATTCAGATCCCCCGACATGGGACTTAAGCTTTATCGTAATCTGGTCAGGTCGCAACATACAATTCTGTCACCGTGACATGAGGGACCACCCAGACCCTAGAGGCAGTGCAAAGTAGAGCAACCAGAATGATTCCCAGTGTTAGAGGAATGAGCTTGGGTTCTTCAGTCTTCAAAAGAGATGTCACACAGGGGACCTTATAGAGGTATACAAGATTTTAAATAGGAATGAGAAAATAAACCCAGGACATTATTTTGGGCTGTACTGAGAAGACAGAACAAGAGGATTGCAAAGGGCAAAAAAAGAATAATAATTTGGTCACTCAATCCATGACTGTTTATGGGATACTATACTGAGTGCAATTGTCTGTGAGTTTCACCTACAAAATACCCAGTCAATACACTTTACAACATATTCAGTGAAGCGCTTTGAGACGTTTCAATGACATGATAAGGCGCTGTATTAAATGCAAGGATTATTATTATTTTAGGACAAACACCAGGAAGTATTTCTTTACCAGACGGTAATTAATGATTGAAATGGGTTACCTGAAAGGGTTGTTGAGGCCAGAACACTGGACTAATTTAAAAAACGGCTTAATGTTGTGTTGGGAAGATAGTAATGTGGACTTGAGTGAGGGATTCATTCTGGAGTACTCCTTTGAACATCTTGGACATTTGGGGCTTTCTCTTTGGAGAAAAAACAAAAACGAGATCAAATAGCATGGGAAAATATATTAATATTACTTCCGTGATGACAGTTTGGGAAAGCTTTAAATTAGATCAGGAAAGCGTCCCACCGGCACTGATCAGAGACTCACATGATGTTCAAGGCACCCCTGAGGTTTCCAGCAGAGGGTAGAGTGTTCTGAAATATTCATCACTCGCATTCATTTCTTACAGAAACTTAGTTCCGTCTTCTGTATTAGTGATGCATAACACCTTAATTCTGAGGAAATCCAGTGACTGAAGAAAACGTGATAAAAGGTTCAGGCAAATGTTCTCAGTGCTTCTTTGCAAAAAACAAAAGCAAAATGCATTTATATCGTGCTGCCTCATGGGTCTCGGAGAGCTAACAGTGAAGTAGTTAAAGTAGTTAAAGAATCCCCATGACTTAATTTATCATTGCTGGCAATAGATGTGTTAAAAATGTACAATAAATCACTGCAAATGTGCTCATAATATTACTCGCAAATTATTTGCCTTATCATGATGAAACATCGCAAAGGACTTCCCAGTTTTTCTGCAAAGTACAGTGATTGTGCATTTGTAGGTAAAGCAGCAGTCAGTTTGGACACAGCAATGTCCCGAAAACAGCCACGAAGTGAATGACTGACTGTCAGCCTGGACACCGGGATAAATTCCCTTCTCTTTTCAAGTAGTGCCATGTGATCTTTAATGCTCATCTGAACAAGCAAATTGGACCTCGGTTTAACATCTCACGCAAAGGTCAGTACCTCTGAGCA